GAGAGAGAGAGAGAGAGAGAGAGAGAGAGAGAGAGAGAGAGAGAGAGAATTAATTGGAATGACTTATAGGCTGCAGTCTAACTAAAAAATTCAACAACGTCCAGCTGTGAATGGAAATCTAGTATTTGCTCAGTCCCACAAGACTGGGTGTCTCAGCAGGTCTTCTGTACATGCTGTAATCTCAAAGAAGTGTGCTCCAATGGCAGTGAAGAAATAAATGTACTAGCAATATGAGGGTAAACAGGTAAAAGAGAAAAACTTCCTTCTCCCATGTTTTATATAGCCTTCCAGGAGAAGGTGTGGCCAAAATTAAGTGTGTGTCTTCCCACCTCAAGATCTGAATCAAAGGTGTGCAAAAGTGTGTCATCCTGCCTCAAGATACAGATCAAAAGCGTGTCTTCCTACCTCAAAGTTCCAGACTAGAAGAGGATTCACCCACTTCAAAACAAGCAGAATATCTCTCACAGGTTTGCCCTCCATATCATTCCAGATATGGTCAAGTTGACAATCATAACAGACAAGGGAAACAGAAAACAATTGCAATAATTCAGACAACACTTTTAAGTACCAAGAAGAAAGAATGTTCAAATGCTTAGATGATACTTCTTTAAGTGAAAGCTAAAAGGTCAGATGTCAGAGTTTGTTATGTAGGCTTAATATACTTTCCTTTTCCTCCCAAGCCTTGGAAAACAAGTCATAAATTGGCATTTGTAATGTAGAACACAGCAATTGATCATTATTCCTAGAGCCCAAAACATACAGAAGCCTGGCTGGTTTACAATAATGCATCTATTTCTTCATTTTCTTGGGGCAATAAACATCATCAGGACAATTATCCAGAACATTCCCCAAGGGATAGCTTATGCTATCCATTCAAACAGAGCACTGAAATAAATCATAAACCACACTACATGAAATAACTAAATATGACTGACCTGAATTGAATTGAACTGAACTGAACTAGATTGGACCGGACAGGACTGGACTGAACTGAACTGAACTGATCTGAAAAAGACACCAGATCAAACAAGACCAGTCTGGACCTAACCAAACTGGACTGGACTGGACTGGACTGGACTGAACTGAACTGAACTGGACTGAACTGAACTGAACTCAAGGGCATCAGAGGCTCAATCTGAACTGAACTGAACTGAACTGAACTGACCTGACCTGACCTGACCTGACCTGACCTGAACTTAAAAAGACACCAGATCAAACAAGACCAGACTGGACCTAACCAAACTGAAATGACATGAAATGAAATGAAATGAAATGAAATGAAATGAAATGAAATGAAAT